CCATGACTATTTGAGAATTTTCATTTTTAAAAATCAAAGGGCAGTCCTCTCTGCAAACACGACCACAGAATCGTTAGGTATGAGGGAGTCTGTATCATCCACCCAAGGGGAGGAGTGACTATTCCTCATCACAGGCTCTGACCCTTCTGCATTCTCTGTCTTCAGTTGGCCTTTCCTTTGCAGAGTGGAGGCCTAGGACAACAAGAAAGATAACATTTGTTATGCTTGAAATATGAAGTATAACAAAAATTGGATTTTCTCTTTCATCTACTAGTAAACCAGATATACTAAGTTTTTTCTAAAATGTATACACAAAGAGAAGCTTCATAAGTAGTGATGTGTCGTAAAAATATTGTGATAATTTTTTAGACATTTTCTTTAAAAAAAAAATTACAGAACTAATGAAAAGCAAAAGTATTCAATATTTATCATGGTACATGTAAAGTCCTTGTTATATCTCAGTAAGTTTCTGTGTATTGACACTGGTCCCCTATCAGTAACCTCCCTTACCCTGGAGTAGACCTCCTCGGCAGAGAGATCCATGGACACACAGATAGATTCCCTGTCTGGTCGCCACTCACCCCCGGGGTCTAACACTCCCTGCCTGTAGGACGGATTCTCTATACCTAGAAATAAAAGTAAAGAAAAATGTGAAAAACAACATTGTCAGGATCAGAAGTATCATTTCATTACAAATGAAGTTAGAGGCACAGCTTAAACTACTGTTAGATTTTGAAACATTTGATTAACTCACCTGTTGAGTCTGGCTTGTGGATTCGGATTCCTGGGAAGGTGGATGAGGCAGCCACTGATTGGCTCTCCTTCAGATGACCATAGCTCTGTAAACCAAATAAAATACCGTGTAAGTAAAAATTTTAGCGAGGATTTAATTTTGGCATTATTAGCGAGGTTGTTGAGATCGCTAAAATTGAATATCGCTAAAAATAAATTGCATGTTATTTGTACTAGTTTCTTTAGTGAGCATTTTAAAATCGTTAAAATTACTTCTCACTAAAAATAAAATACAAGATTTTAAGGAGAAATCGCTTAATTTGCGTCTCGCCAAAATTTCCACTTATACGGTATGCTGTCTAAGACAGGAAAGCAAGAAAGCACTCAGTAAAAGTCATCAAAGTTATGTAAAGAACGCATGATGTCCAAATATCCCCATTTCTCCTTGTTCTTTGCAAAGTGTGAACATATTGCTCTCCCCTATCACAACGATCTAGTTAACATGCAGTCAGAGAAAGAGAGTTTACTTTTCTATATCCAAAATCTTTCTGTACAGGGAATAATTGATGGGCTCCTATCCACAATGTAAACTTTGAATTACCCTTAATTTTAGTGATAAGAATGAATTTCAAATATATGACAGATAAAGTACAATACCTGTGTTTCAGATACTGAGGAGTTGGTACCATATTTAACTGCGTCCCCCAGAAAGTGGATTCTAGATGTGGAGTGTCTAGTATCTCTGTTGTTATTATCCTCAGTAGCATCTTTGGTTGATAAGCTGAAAAATACCATACATGTTTACTCCTAATATGTATCTCATACAAAGATCAATTTATAAAAACATTCCTATTTTATTTTTCTGTTTTTTAAACATTTTTTTACCTTCCTGATCTGTCTCTGGGCATTTCACCAAACTTCCCTTCAGAAGACCTTGTTTCTAGAAATGAAATTGATGAATTAAATTCTTTCTCAAAATCTTTTGATCTCATAATACAATATTAAAATAAAATTCCTTAACAATAACCAAAGCCAAAGAAAAGAAAATGTCCAGTGAACTTACCAAAGTTTCCATAAGCTACCAGGTTCTGCCTCTCTCTCTCCTTGATACAGACACACAGAACTATGGCCAGTATGAAGATGACCAGTATCGCCCCTGCTGCAGCGCCCCCTAAGTACACCGGCAGTTTGTCCTCCTGACCCTGGGGCAGGGAGTTACCGAGGACAGTGGTGGTGTCGAAGCGGTGGTACCTTCTGTGGTGTTTGGTGGTGCTGGAGGTGGGGGAAGAGAATCTAAAAATACAGCAATATTAGTTCTGTATCAAAATTGTTGATACATGTTCCATTTACTCCTGCTTTTAGTACTCTTAAAAAAGTTATTTATAGTACTTATAAATAATATATGATATACATGTGAAATAAAAAGGGCCATCACACTAATTGTGTGAGTCTATATTAATTGTAGGTTAATACCAGTTTTGGCAGTGTGTATGGAAACCTTGCCCTCTCCTTTGGAGTTGACGGCTGATATTCCCACGACATATTCCATGGAGGGCTGCAGGTCTCTCAAGACAGTACGGGTCCCTGTTGTATTTTGGTATATCAGACCTAAACATTAAGCATATAACATTGTGTATCATGAAAATGTCAGAATAATGGCAATTTAAGTTTGGAAGGCTGTGATAATTATGCCCATGCAACTTGAAATTTTGAGTAAATTAAATACATGTAATTACCATTTCTGACCCAGAGTAAATCACTGCAAAGATCAAATACTGATCTATTCCAGGCAGACATCCAAGTCAATGCATTCAAATCCAGTTGACTGAATGAATCACTGATTATACCAAGGCTCATATTAAAATTCTTCTCATCTGTAACATTATTCAAGGTCAAATGAAGACCTGCAACTTTCGAAACAAATGCAGAGAAATTGTTCATCATATCGGAATCTTTATTTTCCAGAATCTCCTGAAGAATGTCATCCATGATTGATGAATAAGAAGAATTTAAATAAGTCAGAGAATCACAAGCATTATATATAACTGGATAGGGAAAAGGTGACAAGTAAGCTTCTGCTGATTCAGTGAGACCACTCTGTCTGTTTGTCTGTCCGTTTGGTAAAGGGTAATGCTTCACTACATACAAATCAATGACTCCATTAGGTTTGAGGGGAGGGGACCAGTAAACTGTTATACTGGTCGGGGTGCCTTGGTAACCAAACTGTCCAACCTTGTCTGGTACTACAATTCAAAAAGCAATACATGTATATATTTCTTAGATTAAAAAAATTACACAAAAATACATCGCAAAACTACATTATGATTTTTGAGTCAACTAGTACCTGACTGTTGAGTTTGGACTAGTCTCCAATCACTCCAGGGCCCTGTTCCATTGTCTGCCTGAGTCGTGTATAGTGCCACTCTAACACTGTATAAAGTCCAGGGCTCAAGGTCACTGAAAACAGAATAAAAGAACCTCAGTCACGAATGTTAGATAAAAATTTTTTCTTAAGCACTATTATTCTATTAAAATACTAAATACTTTTTCTTCTCCATTACAATTTATAATAATATTCTTTTTTAGTTTTATAAATAAAAAACATGTATCCTTGAATCACACTATTTTATATTTCACATAATATTTATATATATCCTTTCCATCCCCTCTTGATCCTTTCCTTTCATCGCCAGCTGAATTTCATAATTAGTATCAGATTTCTCACAGTAAGACTCAGACCTGATGTTGTATGGGAGAGAACCTGGTGTCGTGGGAAGAGTGACCTCCCTTGATGTTTTCTCACCATCCTTCTGGACCTCCACCACTATACCAGAAATGTCACTATTCCAAGTGGAGGGGTCAGGTAACTAAAAAGTTATTATAAATGATTTACATCACTGATGGGACTGTGCAAAGACACTCGTCTGATTTATTATCACGTTTACATCAAATAAGAAACAGTCAAGAATTACATCGTGCATATTATTTTAAAGTTCTCACATGTACATACATGTATATAGCTTTAAATCATCTAGTGCATAAATTGGTAGAAATTCCATAACTTGTTACCTTAAACTGTATATTGACTACACTGCTGGACACTGCTGTGAGTCTGATATTTGTTGGGGGACTACTAGGGGCTGAAAATGTGAAATAAATTCTCTTGTTACAAATCAACTCTCAATTCTTAAAAATAAATTTCCAGATCATAATTCAGTTTAGGAGGATACAAACATATATAAAAAAAAAAAGATCCATGAATGTGCTTGTAAAGTTAATTTTCAATGAAAATCAAATACATGACTATATTTCTGGCTACCCCACATCTCCATTGCCAGATATAAAACAAGGTTTATCCAAAATTTGTGAAATATGTGTTTTAAAACATCAAATTAACAAAATTCTTGAATGCAGACCATAAGAGCTTCTCTAAACCTTCTAAACCCACCTAGTGCAAAAGTACGAACTTTGACCCCTGAACTGGGGGGACCTCTTCCTGCCACATTCTCTGTTTCTATGGTAATAGCATACTCTGTCCAGGGTTGAAGGTTATTTATCATCCCTGATGTCTCAGTAAAATTAACGCTCTTCACCTCAGAAAAGCCAGAAGAAGGTGCCGTAGACTTGTATCTAATATGGTAGAATTTCAGGGGGCCATTATGTTCATTACTGGGTAGGGCCTAAAATAAATAGTTTATTTAATATTTATATATAGTTACATGTACGAATTATTAACATGATTCTACAAACCCTATTTAAGAAATTAATTAGATATTTATATAAATTATAAATTAATATCAATATTTAAGTGGAAAGGATGGCAATATAAACCAGAATTAGAACAAGAGGCCCATGGGCCACATCGCTCACCTGAGAACATGGGCTAGTTAAAAAACCAAAATCAGCTTATTATTGAAAAGCTTACTTGTTGGATGAGGGAGATTTATTTTCTATTACTAACTTGAAAATGTCAATATATCAATAAACCATACAAAAGTCATGTACAATTTTGACATACTTGAAAAGAAGATTTTTAAAGATTTTTTCCTATATATTACTGTAATCTAGGGTCCATATTGCCCCCCCCCCCCCCCCAACAATTTTTGAATAAATTTAAATCTTCGCTACTTTCAGATGCTTACATGTCAATTTGACAAAACTTTTCTGTTCTCGAGAAGATCTTTTCCTATATATTCCTATGTAAAAATTTGATCAGCCATTGTGGCTCCGCCCTACCCCCAGGGATCATGATTTGAACAAACTTGAATCTACACTACCTGAGAATGATTCCACATTAGTTTCATCTTTCCTAACCAAATGGATCTGGAGAAGATTTTTAAAGATTTTCCCTATATATTCCTATGTAAAACTTTGATCGGCTATTGTGGCCCCGCCCTACCCCCCGGGGTCATGATTTGAACAAACTTGAATCTACACTACCTGAGGATGATTCCACATGAGTTTCATCTTTCCTGGCCCAATGATTCTGGAGAAGAAGATTTTAAAAGATTTTCCCTATATATTCCTATGTAAAACCTTGATCGGCCATTGGCCATTGTGGCTACACTACTTGAGGATGATTCCACATGAAGTTCATCTTTCTTAGCCCAATGATTCTGGAGAAGAAGATTTTTAAAAGATTTTCCCTATATATTCCTATATAAAAATTTGATTGGCCATTGTGGCCCCGCTCTACCCCCGGGGGTCATAATTTGAACAAACTTGAATCTACACTACCTAAGGATGATTCCACACGAGTTCCATCTTTCCTAGCCCAATGGTTCTGGAGAAGAAGATTTTAAAAAGATTTTCCCTATATATTTATATATTAAAACTTTGATCAGCCATTGTGGCCCCGTCCTACTTCCAGGGGTCATGATTTGAACAAACTTGATTATACACTACCTGAGGATGATTCCACATGAGTTTCATCTTTCCTGGCCCGATGGTTCTGGAGAAGAAGATTTTTAAAGACTTTCCCTATATATTTCTTTGTAAAAATTTGATTGGCCGTTGTGGCCCCGCCCTACCCCCGGGGGTCATGATTTGAACAAACTTGAATCTACACTACCTGAGGATGATTCCACATGAGTTTCATCTTTCCTGGCCCAGTGGTTCTGGAGAAGAAGATTTTTAAAAGATACCATAAATTTTTCATTAATTCATTATTATCTCCCCTTGGAAGAGTGCTTAGCCCTTCATTTGAACAAACTTGAATCCCCTTCACCCAAGGATGCTTTGTGGCAAGTTTGGTTAAAATTGGCCCAGTTGTTCTTGAGAAGAAGTCGAAAATGTGAAAAGTTTACAGACAGACAGACGGACGGACAGACGGACTACAGACAAAATGTGATCAGAAAAGCTCACTTGAGCTTTCAGCTCAGGTGAGCTAATTATGCTGATCACTGTTCGTGCTTCACAGGCATTTACAGTGTATGTGAGTGATCTCTCTAACTCTGTAACTATTGAAGAACAAAACAGGAAGACCTTAGATGCCATAAACAAGAGGCAAAATAATTTAAAACTTGCCTGCCAAGAAACTAGAATCTTCAGTGGAAGATATGGGCCATATATATATCAACTAAGCATAGCTTTGAAGTACTTGAAAAGAAGATTTTAAAAGGTTTCCCTAATATCCCTATGTAAAACCTTGCCTTTTTTGGCCCCACACTAGATGCAAAATCAAGAGTACAAATGAATTTACACTACCAAGATTCCACATGAGTTTTACTTCCTGGCCCAGTGGTTCTTGAAAGGAATCATAGATCAGACGTATAGGTGCATGTAAACACTTTTATTGTCACCCCTGCCCTTGAATTTGATTGACAGGATAGGTGAAGGTCATTACATAAACTTATGTCATACATATTTGGTATGAAGACTTTTTTTGTTCTCCTATATACATGTATAATGATGGTCAGGGTAGCAAACAAACATTTCTCTAAAAGTGACCTTGAACTTGATCACAATTCTATCTTGGGTTAAAATGTCATGAAATATCCTAAAATCTTTGCCTATATATTCCACAAGGTATCAACTTCCACTGTTTTTCAATTAAGAAGATCAATGTAGACCAGTCAAAATGTTATATTTATTCTTTCAGTGATCAAGAATTTGACATAATGACCTTGATTCAAGGTAATGTCAGTTCTGGCCCAGTGGTCATAAACAATAAGATATACTATATACCAAAAATGATCTTCCAATGATTATCTGTTACAATTTTATAGCCTTGACAAGACTGAATGGACACACAGACAAACTGACTTGTGGGCAAGGGGATTCCTATATAACCCCCCACCCAACTTGGTTTGTGTGGGTAAAATAAATTACATAAGTTAAATTGAATCAATGCAGATTCATTTCTAACTGTTAAAATGTGATTTTTGTACCTGCTGCCTCTGTTCTAGTGACCACCATGGAGGAGAAATTTCCCCATAGATCCACGTCTTTCTCCACTGTGGCTGCCCTGACATTAAACTGGTACTCAGTGTAAGCTAGTAGCCCTGTCACAGTATAGGAAGTGGTAGGGGCCTGAACCTGAATTCTCTCTGGCTCTGTAAATTTATTTAGATAATGAACATGATATTTATCACCTTCTTAATTTGGATGTGTATATTACAGAAACTATTTTTCTTATGAAAGCTATATTGCTAGGTTGAGAAAAATGAGGAAAAAAAATCAAACATGTTAAATGCACTTAGACAACAAAATACTGCAAACCTTCATTTGATTGGCTGATTTGATACCAGATCTGGTACTTCTGAATGATTCCATTGGTGGTTTCTGGAACCTCCCAGCTGACTGTGATGGAGCTGGGTCCCACATTACTTACACGTACATTTCTTGGACTTGATGGATCTATCATGATAAAAACAAAAATTAAAGTCCTTTTTCCATGCATTCTTTTCTTTTCCAATGTTTTAAATCAATCTCTCAAAGTCACCTTATACAAAAAATACATATACAATATATTATTTTCAGCTTATTTATCAACTTCCAGTTTAAGACAAGAAGACAAACCTGCAAAATTAAAAGTTTTTCTTTCAGTGATCAAGAATTTGACATAATGACCCTGCAAGGTAATGATTTGTGGCTGTTACCAAAATCTTCCAATGATTATCCAATTTTATAGCCTTGACAAGACTGCATGGACACACAGTACATTATGAGACACATCATTGGCTCCCGCGAGGATATCATATCTAGTGTACATTAGCTCATGCCTAAAATAAACCAAAAGACTAAATTAAAATATGTCTGAAAAAAATATAAGCAGTATCAAAAATGTAATAAAAGTATTCAGATGTCCTCAAGTTGTGGTTTCTTTGAAAAATCATCTAAAATAAATAGGAAAAAAAATCACATGTTAAATGCAAGAAAATGGCCATACTGCAAATTCAATTAATCTGGCTGAATGATTCCATTTGTACCTCCCAGCTGACTGTGAAGCTGGGTCCCACTACTTACACGTACATTTCTTGGACTTGATGGATCTATCATGATAAAAACAAAAATTAAAGTCCTTTTTAATTACTTTTCCAAAAAACAAATCTAAACAAACAAATAAAAAAATTACAATATTTTCTTATTTAGTTCAATTAATACTTTTGGACAAACCTGCAAGAAATTTTGTTCAGTGTCTATAAAAATTCTCCCTCCCCTGCCTGATTTGTGGCTGTTACCACAAACAAGTACTCCACCCCAGACTGCAGACCCTGTACATTATGAGACACATCATTGGCTCCTACATATATAATTTGTATATTCAATGCAAAAGACTAAATTAAAATATGTGAAAAAAATATAAAATCCAAATGTAATGAAATATTCATAGCTCAAGTTGTGGTTTCTTTGAAAAATCATCTAAAATAAATATTCAAATCAATCTAATGAAAATGGCCATACCAAATAAATTAATTTGCATTTTTTGTACTGATCAAATCATAGGAAAGAGTTGTCTTTGTAATTACAAGCCAAAAAACAAATATAAATAAACAAATAAAAAAATTAAAATTCTTCTCAATAAGTTAATTATACTTTTGGACCATATGAAGAAATTTTGTTCAGTGTCTATAAAAATTCTTATCATCTATTACCAGTATTCAAACATATTTTATCGTTATCCATAATAAACACCAACTACATATAATAATTTGTATATTCAATGCAGAAAGAAATTACTTGTAAAATTAAAATCCACCTGTGACATCACTTCATAGCTTGAGTATGTGTTCCATTCTTTAGAGGAATGGATTGAGAGTCAATAACAATGAATGAAAGCAGAAAGCAATTTGTCAAAATAACCCCTTTTCATGAAAGATAAATGGGAATCTCTCAAAATTTTATTGAATGCAAGAGATGTTTGTAGAAAACTTATGCCCCCCTCCCCCAAATAATTGGAATTTTTCAAAGTCAAAGGGGCATAACTCTGTCAAAAATGGGTCAATTGTACCCAAAACAGTACTTATTCTAGATATTCTTATGATTAATCTGTATACAAAATTTCATTTCAATATGTGCAACCTTTGTGAAGAAAATGAACAGAGACTGCAAATAATTGGAATTTGTATAAGTTCAGGGGGCATAACTCTAACAAAAGAGGCTTGATCATACCCAAAACAGAAACTGCCCTACATATTTTTATGATAAAACTGTATACCAAATTTCATTTCAATATGTGCAACCTCTGCGAAGAAAATGAATGGAAACTGATGGTGGACCGACAGACAGACCGACTGATGGACAGCAGCAAAGCAATATGCCCTCCCTTCTTTGAAGGGGGGCATAAAAATTACCTTTCTTCACTTTATATCATAAAAGGGACTTGAATTTTTCATTTAATTTTCATATAAATTACCTTGAGATTCAGAAAAAGATTCTCTAAATCACAAAAATTCTTAAATTCTGCATGATTAATTGGCAAAGAAAAAGCAAAAGCTTCAGCCCTGCATATATTCTGATATTTTTATGCATTTAAATTAAAAGCAACTGAGTAGACATCCCCTTTATAACATAAAATTAATAAGAGTTATGCAAAGGTGGATTTTAATTAGAACAATATCCTCGCACCTCTCCACTCCTTAAAAGCAATGGGCCTCTTCCCTTTTGGGGACTCGGCCCAGATATTTTTAAAGGAATGGAAAGCTTACAAACTTGGATATTACCCCTTATACAAGCATGGATAGGCAGAAGATGTTAGATTACTGGAAAAATTAAGTCAAAAAAAATACTGCAACAATATGGTTAGATATAACAGCAAAAGAAGAAGTTAATAGAAACTATCAGAGAGAAAATGAAAACAGTCTTATATAAAACCCACCAGACCAAACAATGTCATTACCTGTGAGCATTCACTTCCTAGGCTTAAAAAGATACATCTTTGTTTCCTTAATATTAGCTGAATACATATAGGTATATATGTAAATGTACAGAAGTTGTTTTCAAACAAGTCTTTATTTTATTTTGGGAATAATGTATAAATTAGGAAAGCAAGGAGCACACAAAGTGGATAATATTCAACAAATATCCACTGAAAAAAAGTTCTGAGATACATGTATTTAACATAAGGAGAAAAGTTATTACTAAGAAATTCAGAAAAGATTATCTCTTATGCTCTATAATGGATTAATATGAAGTACCTTTGTTTGTAGTATGCTATGTAGTGGGTCACTGAAGTGTACCAGTTCTGAGTGACCGGTGTCCATCTCAAGGTCACAGAGGTTGCTGATGTTGCTATGGGGTCCAACAAAGTCGGTGGTAAAGGTGGCTCTAAAAACATTTACAGGAATCAAATATACATGTAGTACAAACAACATGGAGGACTTATGGACAGTGTGGAAAACATATGCAGTATTTTCCCTAAGAACCAGCTACCGGCCAAATTGACTGCTTCAGTTGACAATTAAAGCCGCTTTGAAATAAAAATTCAAAATTAAATTGTTGTAATGTCTACTAAAAATTTGTACATAAACCTCAGCCCCCAACTCGTTACAACTGGCCTGGGGGCCATAAAACTTAGATGAGCTCACTTTTGATCTCAGTCTCACTTTTCCCAAAGGAATTAATAGTGGAAAAGTGAGACTGAGATCAAAAGTGAGCTCATCTAAGTTTTATGGCCCCCAGGCCTGATCTCTAACCCTTAACTTTGAAATAAAGGGAAAACACTGATATGAACAATGAGGAGGACTCATGGACAATATATAGAGAACTTACTGACAATATGGACTTAAGTCGGTAAAGAGAACTTCAGGACAATATAGAGAACTTACACACAATCTGGAGAACAAATGGACAATATGGAAAAACAGAGAAAATTAACAGACATCATTAAAATTTACCAACAAGATAGAGAACTTACAACACAATATAGAGAACTTACGCACAACATAGAGAACTTACGCACAACATGGATAGAGACTTCTGCTTGATCTGATCCTGCGTCATTGACAGCAGAACACGTGTAGTCACCTGATAATATTCAAAAGACACATCAATGAAAATTTTACAATCTGCCTTTGAAGGTTTGTTTGTTAATTTTAATAAATAAAATCATGTAAAACCTAAAATATATGTGATGATTTTTGTTAGACTTTTACCTTCATCCCCTGCATTAGCAACCTTAATGAGGAGTTGTCTTTCACTGGTCACTACAATCCTCCCATCCGCAGTGGAGAGAATCTCGGATCCTCGTCTGTACCAGCTGATTCGTGGGGCAGGGATCCCCTCGGCTTTACAGGTTAAGGTGGTGGCCCGGTTTCTTACAACTATTAAATCTCCTTGAATATATTTAACTTTTGGAGGCACTAAAAAGAGATAATATTGGTGTTTGGTTATATTAATTTAGAATTTGTGATGATAAAATACAAAACTTTATTAGCCTAGAAGTACAAAAGATTCATATGGTGATAAATTCCTACTGACAATTGACCTGTGAGTTTAAGCAAAGTATGACCTTGATAAAGTAGAAAAAAAATATCAGAGACAAATCCTAATGTCATCTGTCTTCAACCATTGGACATCAACTGCCCCCCCAAATAAATGTAATACACACCTTGAAGAGAAAGTTTTGCCGACATGCTCTCTGAACCCACAACATTGGAGGCCACACATGTGTATTTTCCCACGTGTTGCCAGGTTACCATGGCGATCTGTACACTGTTGTCTAGGTTAACAAATACTCCATCAGGCAGAAGATTGGTGTCCTACAAAAAAAGTATTCTAAAGGAAATGATATTCATAAACTAATTATCACACATGGTTCAATGCATTTATAGAGCAAAAAGTGAAGTTTTTAAAGTAATTTTTTCCTTTTTGTATGCATGAAACATTTTTTCTTCAAAAAGTATTATGTATTCTGACAAGGTAGTTTTCTTCGTTTTTCTTCCTTGTGTAAAATAGCATAATCACATAGATTTTCCTACTGAACGAATTATGTGGTTTAGGCTTCTTTGCTTTTGGCTTACATTACAGGCTTACATTAAATTTCCACACAATAGTTGAAGCAGGATGACTGTCTACACTACATGTGAAGTTAGCAGCACCACCTATCACCACGGTGACATTCTTTGGCATCACCTTAAACACTGGTGGAGCTGAGGAATATATATGAAAATGATTTGATGAGATAGAATTTTAAAAACTTAAAGCCTCTTGAGAAACATCTAATATTATTAGAAGATTTTCATCATAAAAAAGTACTCAGATATTACTTTTACAGGACTACAGGCCATAATTCATCACTTTAGAAATAGATGTTTTTTTTAATGCAAATAAAACATGTTTCTTTTTATGCAGTTATGTACTGTTAGCATCAATACTAATGCTGGTATTTATTTGAAAATAGAAAATGGAAATTGAAACATTTTTCTCTAATACTTTGTTTGAACACATCTCACAACAAAACAAACAATAAATCAGTAAAGTACCCTGCACAGCCAGTATTCCTGAGGATTGAGCAGTGCCTGCCTCATTCATCGCCAGACAGGTGTAAGTTCCCCCATCAGTCAAATTAACATCGTTAATAAACAATCCATCCACCGTCTGACGGACTCGACTGGTGAGGGACAGAGGGGCCTGATCTGTAAATATCCAAGAGGCACAAATAAAACAAGAGGCACACATCAAACAAGAGGCACATGTGAAACAAGAGGCACATGTGAAACAAGAGGCATACATGAAACAAGAGGCACATAGGCCTTGATGGTTGCCTGAGTATCATGAGTCTCTCAAGTTATACTCTTAGATTTACTACATATAAATGTGTGCAAAGATACATGTACACATACAAGCTTGAAAATTGAACTGTTGTCTCTACCTTTGTACCAAGTCACATTTGGAACTGGGTCTCCATAGACTTCACAAGGCAAAAACACCTGGTTGTTAATGGTTACCGTCAAATTGACCACTGGCTTAGTAATTACCACCGGGACTGAAAAGATATTACAAAACAGGTACCGTTCAGTCAGAGGATTTTCTTTATTACACCCATCCTTCTTATAATGAAAAGCCACTTCAAGTAGTAACAAAATTAAGCAAATAAGTCAAATAGAAATATGTTGAACACATCTAAAATTAAAACTTATTGCCAAGTGATTTGTTTTTAAAAAAAAGGTATTATTAACTTATCAGGTATTACAATTCATGATTTTAATAGCTCAAAATTGTTCATCCTTTGTACTTTGCTACATGTATAAGCATGTTGCACTATATGAAAAAAATGTCAATCTATAAAGCTTTTCTAATTTTTCATTCTGGGGAAAAGTTTGAAGTCATTATTGGTAAGCAACACTAGTCAAAGAGAGATTTTATAATTATGCGTTTCAAATCACTAATTACCTTTAACAGTGACATAGGCCATTGCCTCAGATTTTCCATAAGAATTATTGGCTCTACAGGTGAAATAGCCCTCCCATGCCTTATTTACATTGGCAATGTGTAGTTCCTGGTTCTTCATGCTATCAAAATATTTCTTTAACCATTTACATCAAGCAATATTTGTATTCAAGAGTATTTGTTCTTTATAATGACTATACCAAAGGAAATATTTGCTCAGAAACATGAGAAAGACAAAGTCCTTTAAATGAATTTGTAATTATCCATTTGACATCACTGATAGGTAAATTGTACAAGAATTTTACATCTGTACATTTACTGACAATATTCATTTTCTAAAATAAATCCCATGTTGCTTTACATGTACATAGTTAAGAATTTCCAGCATGAACAATCCTACATGTAAATCACTAAAATATTCTAGTTTGTATATTTACGCAATGTAGACATTCTAAACTGAATGTTGGCATTATTCTAACCTGAATGCTGGTGTTATTCTAACCTGAATGCTGGTGTTATTCTAACCTGAATGCTGGTGTTATTCTAACCTGAAGTCTGGTGTAATTTTAACTTGAATTTTGGTGTTATTCTGATCTGAATGCTTGTTTTATTCTGACCTGAAGGCTTGTTTTATTCTGACCTGAAGGCTGTTGTATAAGCTCCATCTGTGACCGGTTGTCCATTGAACAACCAGGTTATTTCTGGCTCGGGATCTCCCTTAACCAGACATATTAGCACAAGACCTTGACCTTTGACAACTGACTGACTCAAAGGGGGCTGCACAAATGTAGGTGCTCCTAAAACAACAAAGCTTAAAAATTAGATACACTGAAAAATAAAAAAAAAAGACTTGGATGTATAATTTTATCTAATTATATCAAAAATTTCTCCTTGGAATAAGACAGTTTAGAATGAAATTATTTTTTTTTCAAACTAATTAAAAACTGATGAAGTTGACTTCATTATGAATTTATAAAGCAGTATACATCTACATTAGACCAGTTAGGGCAAAACATGTACATTTTTGTCTAATACCGTATAAGTAGAATTTTTAGCGAGAATTTAATTTAGGCATTATTAGCGGGGATGGTAAGAATGCTAAAATTGAATATCACTAAATTTTAATTGCATTTTACTTGTAATAGCATCTTAAGTGAGCATCTTATAATCGCTAAAATTACTTATCAATAAAAATGAAATACCAATTTTTATGGAAAAATCGGTAAATTTGCGTCTCGCTAAAATTTCCACTTATACGGAATTTTCAAAATCCAAGCAGGCCGAGGGTGAGATTAAAACACTTCATCATTAGCCTAAATAATACTGAACATTTTATAAAAATGAAAGTTTTGATCAGAAACCAGTACTCTTTACCTCCTACTCTAAGTGTGGCAACTTTTGAGGTTCTAGAGGACGGAACAGCAAACACGTTCTCAGCAACACAGAAGTACTGCCCCTCATGTATCCGCTGTACATCAGCTATAAACAGGTCCCATACCCCATTGTCAGGGTCCATGATTAACACAGTCTTACTGTTGTTATTGAACTTGTTGGTCAATGGCTGGTTGTTCTTATACCATGTGACTTTGGCGGGGGGATTAGAAGTGGGAGGGGAACAAGGGAGGGTGGTAGGCAGGCCTGCTATGGCATATTTTGAAGTTGGATGTCGAGAAAATTCAAAGTCAATATCTACCAAAAAGAAATAATAAACTTTTGCACTGTATGAAAATTTGTTATGAATGCTATAAAATCATTAAATCCTATTTGCTTTCAAACATTTAAAAGATATAACTACATGCATTGGTTTCTTACAAGCTGCCTGTAGTACAATGTCAGGTGATATATCCTTTCCTAGTTTGTTTATCCCCTCGCAGATATAGTATCCCTGGTCCTCCAACTGAAAGGACTCAAAGTAGAGACTACCATTAGACAGAAGGGTGTGGTTAGTGGTGACTGGGGTTAGGGGCACTTGTCCCTTTCTCCAGCTAATGACTGGGGAGGGGTATCCAATTACTGGGCAGTCCAGCACAAAGGGCTGGTCCTTTGGAGTCAAAATATCCCTCTTATATAGGTTTAAGTCCACCCTTGCTGCAAACTCAAATGCTGACACGAAAAAAAATAAATAATAGAAAATGAGATTTTCCTTATCACCTTTATAGCTCATATCATCAAAATTTTTCATTCGTATTCTCCTGCAAGTAATGGAAGTGAAATGAAAGTAAGTTTTCTTAGTTACAGAGATTTAGACTTAACATGCATTAATCTTTTAATTATTCACCTGTAACTCCTACAAACACTTGTAAACTTCTAACATATATTCCCAGCATTCCGTTCCTAGCAGCGCAGTTATACTTCCCACTATGCTCAGGTGTGGCCACCAGGACCAGCTTCATGCTGAACTGCTGCACAAAACCCAGGGAGGAGGCACTTTTATATGTGGCATTGTACTGGGATCCACCCCTGAAGAGGACACCATCTTTCTCCCAGAAGATCTCAGGGGGTGGCGAGCTTTCCCCGGTAACACAGTCCAAGGTTATCGTGTCTCCTTCAGTCACTGTCACACCATTTGGATTTATCACGAATGAACGGATATCTGTATCAAAGCCACAACCAGATATGTGACAATCTCAATAGGAATAATATAAAATACAAATAATTTTTCATGCAGAAGAGAAAATTCTCTAAAAGTTTTACTTTATGAAAAAGTATTTTTAATGTTGATAGCATGTACATTTACGTACGACTGTACATAAAAAGAACACTCCATAGGAACAATATTCTGAGGGCTTTAAGGATTACTGGTACATTTTTATTTTCTTCTTTTAGAAAGCATTATGAAAACCCATTTAGACTTAATTTTTAATCTACAGAAATGAAATACATGTTAGCTTTTGAACTTACTTACAAGTAGACTAAAATTCAAACACAATTCTGAGTTTTAAGTAAACTAATTAACATTCTAAAACTAGAGATTCTGTATGAGAACTTATATGCTGCCCTAGTTTACTGTATGACTTACATGCATGTATGATTTGAGCTGGAGGTGACACGGCTAACTGTGAGATGCCATCACTGGAGGATACAGCACAGGTGTAGTTTCCTAGTTCTGCCTCGTGTATGTTCTGTATAAGGAGGGAGTTGTTGACAAATATAGAGCTACCCTGGGGCCGTGGTCCCCCATTTAGATACCAAGCGTAGGACAGCTGCTCCGTAGGGGAAGACACCAGCCTGGCTTCACAGTTTAGAATTATGCTTCCATTGTATACAACAGCCTGACTTTTTGGCTTCACCATAAATTCTTGAAAAATATATTTTTTTATTAATAAAAACAAACATAAGCATGTATCTGCAAGTAATATAACTTTAAAAGTAAGCATAAATAGCAGAATTTACATTAATGTAAATCCCTATTTTGATATATAAAGAATATGACTTTAACAAAATAATTTCATACTTACCCACAATTTCTTGAGTGAACACAAACTTTGAATTCATTAAAAATATTTGTAGAAAGGAAAAGAACTTTGGAATATTAGTCATCTTTTGGGAGCCCAGTGCTGTGAAAAGTATAACATTACAAATGTAAAACATCCCACACAATAACTGTAAAATTAAATTTAATTTTTTTTGAAACATAGGCAATAAAGAAAAGTTACCTTTCGAGCTCACCGAATATAACCGTCCACCATTATATCTTTGAAAACATATTGCAATAGTGCACAGATGTACAGAAAATACTTTACAACAATACGCCGATACAAAGGCAGATTCTCTCGTCCAGTTGATAAAATATTCATGACAACATCATTCTCCTCCTATACACCTTGATTCTTACAGCATCTTAATGGTTATACACCAATCAATATTTCTCGCGTGCGAAGTCAAGGTAAACACGAAATCTTCTTTCGCGGAACGCCCCGCGGTCATTTTTCTGCTTTCTATAAACAAAAGAGTTCCTAATTTCAAGCGTTCTATTCCTTTATATGTAGTTTTAGTTGGTAGTTGGAAAAACCAAATTTTGAAAAAAAAAAAAAACATGGCACAAATCTTTTATTCAAGCATTTTTATTAAGAATTATAATAATAATTGGAAGCTCTTCCTTTATGTAGTTTAAAACTTTTAGTTGGAATATAGATATACTCGCCTATACAAGTCGGTTTTTTGGGAGTTAATTTCTGGTCCAAAACTGACTCATAGGCGAGCTCTAAAAAGAATAGTATTGTATGAGGTCAGTCCAACTGAAATATAAGCTTATTAACTACAACCGACTTATTGGCGAGTAGCCGAGTACATGTATTATACGGTAATTAATACGCTTCCTTAATTCAAGCAAATTTATTTTTAAAAAATAATTAATTGGAAGTGTAAGTCAGTAATTACTTTCAACAACTGATTTGATGAAATCATCAAAATAAATCATTCTCTGTCAGACTGTGCGGTACGGAAGCATATTAGTGCCACGCAATATTTTTTTTAAAGTTGGTAATTCCAACTTTAATCTTGGCTTTTCCAACTTTAAAGTTGGTAATTCCAACTTTAATCTTGGCTTTTCAAACTTTAATCTTGGCTTTTCCAACTTTAAAGTTGGAAATTCCAACTTTAATCTTGGCTTTTCCAACTTTAAAGTTGGTAATTCCAACTTTAATCTTGGCTTTTCCAACTTTAAAGTTGGTAATTCCAACTTTAATCTTGGCTTTTCCAACTTTAATCTTGGCTTTTCCAACTTTAAAGTTGGTAATTCCAACTTTAAAGTTGGAAATTCCAACTTTAATCTTGGCTTTTCCAACTTTAAAGTTGGTAATTCCAACTTTAATCTTGGCTATTCCAACTTTAATCTTGGCTTTTCCAACTTTAAAGTTGGTAATTCCAACTTTAAAGTTGGTAATTCCAACTTTAATCTTGGCTTTTCCAACTTTAAAGTTGGTAATACCTTTAAAGTTAGGGCTGGGCAATAATATCGATATTTCAATATATTGCAATACAATGACAAAAAATATCGTATCGCAATACGATTTTGTAATATCGATATATTGGCAATATACTTAGATTAAGGAATTTTGTCATTAAATATAAAAATGGACTTATGAAAGTTTGTTATTAATCCAAACAGTAGGTCAGAAGTTGTTTTGGGGGAACATTTCAGAGCATAACTAAAAGGAAATCAACAAGATTTTTTTTTTCGTGTTGGTTACTTATCATAGTTATGTACATTCTGCATGTAAATTAACATAAATATAGTAAGAAAATGCCATTTTCCTTACATTGAAAATATTGCAATACGTATCGCAATACAGTTTAAAATATCGCAATATATCGCAATACGAAATCTCGGGCCAATACCCAGCCCTATTTAAAGTTATTGCCAATAGAATTTCACAAGAGGACTAATAGGAATATAAGGATTTCTAATTAAAAGTTGGAAGTTTTATGTAAGGTCGTAAGGAAGGTCAAGGTAAAATAAAATAAAAGAAATAAAGATAAAAAGAGTTCAACAATTTATTTCAATGTGCTAGTATTTATTTTCCATTGTAAAAGTACATATATTATAACTCCACATATCCCCTTCCGCTCTTCCCCCCCCCCTTTCGACCCCTACCCCTATATTGCAATGATTAATTCCTAACAAATCTATTTCAGTGTCTTATTTTCACGTTCATTAAGTTTGTGATACTTTAAAACAAAAGAAAAAACTAAGAAAAGAGGGGTAGAAAAGCTCGAATAAAAGTTGGGAAAGCCAAGATTAAAGTTGGAATTTTCAACTTTAAAGTTGGAATTACCAACTTTAAAGTTGGAAAAGCCAAGATAAAAGTTGGAATTTCCAACTTTAAAGTTGGAATTACCAACTTTAAAGTTGGAAAAGCCAAGATTAAAGTTGGAAAAGCCAAGATTAAAGTTGGAATTACCAACTTTAAAGTTGGAAAAGCCAAGATTAAAGTTGGAAAAGCTAACTTTAAAGTTGGAATTACCAACTTTAAAGTTGGAAAAGCCAAGATTAAAGTTGGAATTACCAACTTTAAAGTTGGAAAAGCCAAGATTAAAGTTGGAATTACCAACTTTAAAAAAATATTGCGTGGCACTAATACGCTTCCGTTGGAAAAGTTGGAAAAGCCAAGATTAAAGTTGGAATTACCAACTTTAAAGTTGGAAAAGCCAAGATTAAAGTTGGAATTACCAACTTTAAAGTTGGAAAAGCCAAGATTATAGTTGGAAAAGCCAAGATTAAAGTTGGAAAAGCCAAGATTTAAGTTGGAATTACCAACTTTAAAGTTGGAAAAGCCAAGATTAAAGTTGGAATTACCAACTTTAAAGTTTAAAAAGCCAAGATTAAAGTTGGAATTACCAACTTAAAAAAAAATATTGCGTGGCACTAATACGCTTCCGTAGTGCGGCATTATCATGTTATTCGCTTCGCGAATAGAATAAGTTTGACGTTGTACACATTAACGTCATTACTTGTACAAGAGGGATTCTAATGATGTTATAAAGTTTATATTTTTATTTTCGAATATTTAGTACTATTTAATACGATTTCAGGAAATAAAATTAAACGAGAGAGAGAGAGAGAGAGGGAGAGAGAGAGAGGATCTAATGCTCGATTCTTTAGAGAATCGTTCATATACATGTATATGAAAAACGGGTAGCGAATCAAACAACATGAGTATATATATATACAGACACAACATTCTAAAAGCCTCTGAAAGGGGAGATTGGGTTTCTTTGGTGATCATTCAGATAAAAAACGGGGCTTGTTTTTTTTTTTAGAATGTTGCGTCTGTATAAATATACTCATGTTATTTGATTCGCTTCTTATTATATATGCCTTGGTCATTTGAAACATGATCATTTTAGAAATGAACCCCCTAAAAAACCAAGCCCCATTTTTTATCTGAATGACCCCCAAAGAAACCCTTTACCGGGGAAAATCTCCCCTTTCAGAGGCTTTTATATAGAATGTTGCGTCTGTATATATATACTCATGTTATTTGATTCGCTACCTGTTCTGCATATATATGATCGATACGTTCCTTTCTTTCATCTTTTTACCAACTCCTTTATCATACAAGACAGAGTTCTCAATATATTTTATTTTCGCAAATCATTGGAAATTTTAATTACCGAATGCTAAAAACATCACTCTTATACAGGTATTGACGTTAACGTGTACAACGTCAAACTTATTTGATTCGTGAAGTGAATAACATGATTATGCCGTCTGTACTCTCAGATGAGGATCGAGTTTCGCACGTGTAATAAACATGATAAATAACTGATTTTTTTGTCGGAAACTTCATCGCATCAGCTAGGGGCCGGGAGGGGGGGGGGGTCATTTGTGATTGGAAGGCCGCTTAGGTTGGCTCCCACTTATTTATTGCAGTAAAGTCAATTATTTAGGGTAATACAATATATTATATAACGTTATATAGTTAGTTTGTTTGATGTTGTTTTACGCCCCTTTGAGAATTTTTTTTATATGAAGACGCTATTCTCTTTAAAAATAA